AAAAAAAAAAAAAAAAAACCTCCCAAGAACAAAGCCTGTCAGCTGAATCCACCTTATACCACAAATACCCAAGACAATCAAATAGGATTAACAAAACCCCAAACCCCAAAGGTCAGCAACCTCAAAGATATTCCTGCAAAGACACAATCAATGCAACAATGTTGAAAACACAAAAGGCCAGAATGATTTCTTTCATCCAAATGACCAAATTATGTTTCCAGCAAGGCCTAAGATGACAGAAGTAAAATTCGGAATATGAACAGAAACAAACTTCAATGAGCTACAAAAGTTGCATCCCAATGCAAGGAAGGGAGAAAAAAATTACAGAAACTGACAGAAAAAAACCAGCCAGTCTGGAGAAAAATGTGGCCAATCTGATAGAGCTGAAAAACACAATACAAAAACTTTATAATGTAATCACAACTATTAACAGCAGAATAGGCCAAGCAGAGGAAAGAATCTCAGAGCTTCAAAACTTACTTTTCCGAAATAAGACAATAGTGGGGAAAAAAAGAGGAATGAATAAAACCTCTAAAAAATATGGGATTATATAAAGAAACCAAATCTGTGATTAAAGAGAGTGCCTGAAAGCAATGGGGAGAATAAAAACAACTTGAAATACATATTTCAGGATATCATCAATGAGAACTTCCCCAACCTAGATAGAGAGACCAACATTCAAATGCAGGAAATGTGGAGAACCCCTAACCCTAACCCACGAGAAGGTCATCCCCAAGACACATAATCATGAGATTCTCCAAGGTCAAAATGAAAGAAAAAAATATGTTAAAGGCAGCTAGAGAGACCAGGTCACCTCTTAAAAAAAAAAAAAAAAAAAAAAAGCCCATCAAACAACAAACCTTTCAGCTGAAATCAATTCCAACCCAGAATTTCATATCCAGCCAAAGTAAGCTTCACAAGGAAAAAATAAATATGATCCTATTCAGATAAGCAAATGCTGAGGAAATCTGTTACCACAAGACCTGCTTTATAAGAACTTCTGAAGAAAGCACTAAATGAGAAAAAGACTATTTATCTTCACTGAACATAAGAAGACTATTACCAGTCACTACAGAAACACACTAAAGTACACAAACCACTGACAGTATAAAGCGACCACATACACACATATGAATACTAACCTTAAATGTAAATGGACTAAATGACCCAATTAAATAAGAGTAGCAAGCTGAATAAAGAATCAACATCTACTGGTATGCTGTAATTGAGACACCCATCATAAATAAGCTCAAAGGGAAAAAGAAAAGTCTGCCAAGCAAATAGAAAACAGAAAAAAAGGAGGGGTCACAATTCTAGTTTCTGAAAACACAGACTTTAAATCAACATAAATTAAAAAAAGGAAAAAAAAAAAAAAAAAGACAAGGGCATTGCATAATAGTAAAGGGCTACATATGCACCCAACACAAAAGCACTCACATTATGAAGCAAGTTCTTACAGAGATCCTCCAAGATGTTAAATGTTCTTCAACAGACTTTACATTTATACTGCATTCATTATTAAATCTCTGATGTTGAACACAATATAATGACTTGTCAAAGGCTTTTCCACGTTTTTAACACTTGTGGAGCTTCTCTCTAGTATGAATTCTCTTATGTCTAATGAGGTGTGAGAACCAGCTTGATGCCTTGCCACATTCTTCACATTTGTAGGGTTTCTCTCCAGTGTGAATTCTCTTATGATTAGTAAGGTCTGAGAAGCACTTAAAAGTTTTGCCACATTCTTCACATTTGTAAGGTCTCTCTTCCATATGAATTCTCTTGTGGTTAATGAGCGTTGAGGAGCGGGTAAAGGCTTTGCCACATTCTTCACAGATGTAGGGTTTCTCTCCAGTATGAACTCTCTTATGTTTACTCAGGGCCGAGAACCACTTAAAAGATTTTCCACATTCATTACATTTGTAGGGTTTCTCTCCAGTATGAATAATTTTATGTTTAGCAAGGTCTGAGAACCACCTATAGGATTTGTTACATTCTTCACATTTGTAGGGTTTCTCTCCAGTGTGAATTCTCTTATGATTAGTAAGGTCTGAGAAGCACTTAAAGCCTTTGCCACACTCTTCACATTTGTAGGGTCTGTCTCCAGTATGATTTCTCTTGTGTTTAATAAGGGTTGAGGAGCAGGTAAAGGTTTTGCCACATTCCTCGCATTTGTAGGGTTTCTCCCCAGTATGAACTCTCTTATGTTCAGTAAGGTTTGAAAACTTTTTAAAGGCTTTGCCACATTGTTCACATTTGTAGCATCTCTCTGCAGTATGAATTATCTTATTTCTAGTAAAATCTGAGAACCTACAGTCCTTGCCACATTCTTCACATTTGTAGTATTTCTCTCTGCTAAAAATTTTCTTATGTTCAGTGAAGATTGAGCACAACTCAAAAGCTTTGCCACATTTATTATATTGACAGGTTTTCCTATGGGTAGTTGGCAAACATTGATGAAGGCCATTATAACTGCTTTTCTGTCCCTTGCAATTACCCACACTTTGGTAGTCTTCCTTTAAATGTAAATTATTAAGGTCACAGCTTCTATATTTTCTCAGAATCACTTTTTGAAATGAATCTTTTATGTCGTGCTCCGGCAATATCTCTGCAGTAAAAAGAAAAGAGCCAGCTGGAAAAAAAAAACAAATATAAAATTATACAAAACACATTTACAAGGTGACACAATAAAATACCACAGGTTCTAACTCCTTTATAGACATATAAACTTAACAGAAATATACTGACCAAAATACCTTTGTGAGAAGTCTAAGAACCAGTTAAGCATTTACAGCACCCCAAATGAGCAAAATGCCAAGAACCATATAAAAGTGTAATAAAAATATTTCATACTTACCCACCACAGCCACTCTTCATCCCATGATCACTTTAAATAGACTCCCAACTCCTGTAATCCCCCTCCAAAAATAAATAAAATAGTGCCACAGGTGTCCATGCTTCTGACTTTTTGAGATCTTACCAAAGATTAATTCCTATATTCCATGACAGTGTTCAAAGGAAAAGTGGGATACTTTGACAGTTTTGGACAGTTGAGACCAAAGGTAAATGACCATTACAAGAGAAGAAACACTTCAGTATCATAGACAGATAATGGGTACAGCAAGTGACTACAGTACCTCAATAAGAAACATGGGGAATGGCCAGGAGTGGTGGTTCATGCCTGTAATCCCAGTACTTTGGGAGGCTGAGGAGGGCAGATCACCTGAGGTCAGAAGTTTAAGACCTGCCAGATCAACACGGTAAAATCTCATCTCTAACAAAAATACAGAAATTAGCCAGGTATGGTGCCAGGCACCTGTAATCCCAGCTACTCTGGAGGCTGAGGCAGAAAAATTACTTGAACCTGGGAAGTGGAGGTTGTGCTGAGCCAAGAATGCGCCATTGCACTCCAGTCTGGGCAACAAGAGTGAAACTCCGAATCAAAAAAAAAAAGAAAAAAGGAAAAGAATTTTTTAAAATGGGGAATCTTTTTTAACTAAAAAACACACAAGCCCAGAAAAAACATCCATAGAACAACCTTGAGATACTCCAAGAATCTCTAGTCTAAAAAATTGATATCATATTCCCCCAGAGAAGAGCCACTTAAAAATTTTGACATGTCGTTTTTTATTATACAAATTGCAACCTAAGATTACAACATATACAAAACATCAAGATAATATGGTTCAAAGATAAAAAAAGAGTATCTAGAAATTATTAAAAGAGATGTAAAAATTACCTAAGACAATCTGAATTAAAGTCAAGATCTATTAAAATCCTAAAAAAATCAAAATTAGCATCTCAATAATGTTCAATGAGTAAAATGGAAATAAAACAAAATGAAATAACAAAAAGGAAACCATCAATAAAAAGATAAAAAGCACACACACAAAAAAAAATTGTGGAGAAGTACCAAACAAGACTAACATGCACTTGAACATTAGTAAAACCTATAAGAAAATCAAGAAGCTCAGCAAATTTCAACTAAGATTAACACTAAGAGGTTTCTAACAACACACAACATAAACGACATTTTGAAAGTCACAGACAGGAAGAGAATCGGAAATGCAGGAAGAAAAAAGAGATGATGTTATTTATATGCATGTTTCTGCAAGATTACCAGTAAATTTATAAACATAAATGTTTCAGGCAAGAAGGGAGGAGGATAACATAGTTAAAACACTAAAAAAAGTCTAAGCAAGAATATTATATCCAGTAAAAGTATCATTCAAAATGAAAATAAAACTATATCATGATCTATATCAAGATCTAACTATGTTATATCTTCAAGAGACTCACTTCAGATCTAATAAAAAAAACCTGACTGAAAATGGCAGGATGAAAAATACGCATGCAAGTGTTAACCAAGTGAGAAGAGGCTTATTAAGTCAAAAGCTGTCATGTTTCATATAATTTAAGTCAAACTTCATAAGACACAAATTATAGTAAGAGGGTTCATTCACTGAGAGCCTATAAATATGTCTGACATTAGTTTCCCCAAACACATAAAGCAAACTGACAGAATTGAAGCAGAAATAGACAACAATATAATAATGGAAGGATACATCAATATCCCACTTTCAGTAATAAAGCGAGACAGAAAATCAATATGGAGACAAAAAACTTGAATGCCCTATAATTATACCTAACAAATGTATACAGACAGCAGAATACACTTTCTTTCCAAGAGGTCATCAAACATTTTCCTAGATGGACTACCTGTGACACCACAAAACAAGTCTTAACAATTTAATTAAAATTTTACAAACAATTATGGCCTAAATAGAATGAAAGTAGAAATCAGTAACAGAAGCTGAAAAATTCAAAAAATATAAAAATTAAACAACATACTTTTGAGCATGCTCTTTATCAAGGGTTGGAAGACCATAATATTGTGAAGGTGTCCATGCTGCTTAAAGTGACCCACACATTCAACACAACCCTTTTCAATTTTAAATTTTCCTTTTCCAAAAATAGAAAAAAATCCAACATATTACTTAAGATCTCAAGGGACTATGAAAAGCCTGACAATCTTGACAATCTTTAAGAAGAAAAATATTGAAGGGATTACACTTAATAATTTCCAAACACAAAACAAACCTACACCAATCAAAGCACTTTAGTACTGGTAAAAAGATAGAACATCAAAGTAATAAAACAGAATGCAGTACAGATATAAACTCTTTAATACATGGTCAAGTGAGTTATTTGCACACCATATTGCAGCATTATGCAGAAAAGCCAATAGGCAAAACAATTTAAACTTTCCTTACCAAATAAATGGATAAATATAATTTAAAATACAAAAAAATGGAATATTAATCAGCTTTTAAAAAGCAGGAAATCTAATATAAAGAAAAATTTTGGGCCGGGCACGGTGGCTCAAGCCTGTAATCCCAGCACTTTGGGAGGCCGAGGCGGGTGGATCACGAGGTCAAGAGATCGAGACCATCCTGGTCAACATGGTGAAACCCCG